TCTACACCTTGTTTTATCTCAGATTCTCCAGCATCTGCAGCTCCTACTATACTGGAGAAACTCAGCAGGTCTGGCAGCATCTGTGGAGAGAGAAACAGGAGTTATGCTACAAGTTCAATGTGACTCTACAGAACTAGTCTTTTAACAAAGACTCCAATGGAGATAACAAATCAGGAAAGATGTGAAGTGGTTGTGATTCAGTATCACCCATTGTTAGATCACACATTTTCCAACAGGAATCCAAGTCTGGTGGTAGGTGTCAGGTAACCTTTATTGCAATTTACAGCTCAGTTACAGAACACAGCAAAAAGGCATGCACAAATTTTCAGGCTAGTTTAATTTATATATTTCAAGCTTACAGTGCACTGACACCGCCCACCCCCCCCCCCCCCCAAGCAATTAGTCAGGGGCACTAGGTTATCCCTTGTCATTGGCTCTCGGGTACAGCATTTTACACAGTTCAAGTTTGCTAATCACTGAGGTGGACAGGCTGTGGTCCACCCCCGTCCTTCATAATGTTTTACCAGACTTTCTTACCTTTCTCCTTGAGGCTTTTCACAATGAATACTGTTTTCAAGTAACATTTGCCAGCAGCACTGTGTTAACTACGAATCAGTTAGATATTTGCCTACTACTTCAGGACACTTTAAATTTCTCATTACAGGTAGTACAAAAGAATATTGATTTTTGGTCAGTTCGAACAAAGTTATGTGGTTACACGTAATGTTAGCATTCTTTGGCTAACAAGTTATGTTTTAATGTGTTCATTCAATCCACATTCTAATGTCTGCTAATCTCTATATTCATTCTTCCCTGCAATGAGAAGGTGAGCCACTTTTACTGTCTGAAACTGGTTTGAATCTTTTCTTTAATGCTTTTGGTGATTTTTTTTGTATATAAGTGGATGTATAGCTACTTCAGAATCTACATGTATGATTATGTGAAAGATCTTAACTCTAACCTACCCTTAATGTTGTAATAGATTGATTAAATAATTCAAGAGAAACAATTAGTTAGTGTGAAATGTTAAACAATTGCAGCTGCACGTTTTATCTCATTTGAGCAACTTTGATTATAGAGAGTTACTATTGTTCTACTTGCAGAGACTATATTAAGCAAATATTTTCCCACACGGTCTAACTACTGACAGCCATGTTGTGCTACATTAGCCATGGACAGCTGTCGGCCATTTTTTGCTGCTCAGTGATGGGCAGTCCTAACATCCATTTTACATTTTCAGAATCAAATCCGCCCCATCTGAGCAAGAACAAAGAGACAAACAAAAAACCCTTCAACACAAGAGTGTTTCCTGAAAGAAAGAAATTGTTTTGCAAATCCATTGCTTAAGTTCAGTCATAATATACAATTTAATAAATTTACAATAAATAAATTCTTGGTAGAAAATTACTTAAACTTTGCTAAGACAAGAATTTGAAGGTTTTTATTTTGCGCTCATCAGAACTGGAGCACAAGAACCAGACCTGGAAAAAGTTATACAGCATGAGAAAAGGATGCCATTCGCTTGGGCCATCATTGACATGGAGGTGCAGCAAGAACAGTTACATAGGCAACAGCTTGACCAACCAGAATCTACCTGCTTGGTTTAAGATTTAAGATTGATGGTAAACTGTTCTTGATGCATTGCCATATCAATGATGCCCTGCCAAACTCACTATACCAATTAAAGAAATAAGTTGTACTACCATTGGAGCTGTTATGATCAATAGTACTAAATGAAGTGCAGGGGAATTCTCACCAGTGTCCTGGGCAATATTTATAGCTCAACATCACTGAAACAGATTATTTGGCTAGGAACACATTTACTGTTTCTGGTAGCTAACTATGCACTAATTGCCTGCTTGGTTTCCCATATTGCAGTACTTCAGATGTATCTAATTGGAAAATGCTATGAAACTATCCTGTGGCCATGGACGTTGCAAAATAAGTAACAATGAGCATTTTCTTTTCTAACAGTTACGAGTGGTGCTGTTGAACTGGTGTGCTTGGTTTCTTCGGATGAAAAAGCCGGGAGATGGAAAGGGCAGCGTGCCGTGCAGGTATAATCAGCAACAACAAAGCTTCAGCACCGTGGAGATGAGTGGAATACCCAGTCAGCGGTCTGGCAATGGCAACATGATCTACTTTGGCTACCACGCTATGGAGAACCCCTGCTGCCCTGCCAGCGCTGACTCGGGTATGATGTGCAGTCGGATCACTTGCTCACCTTCCAAGGACAGTGGCTGCGTTCAGAGCACCCCTCTGGTCGGTAGCTCCCTGGAGATTGTGAAGATCCTGGAGGAGCTTCAGTTCATCGCCAGGCGCTTCCGGGACCAAGACGAGGGTGAAGCCGTCTGCAGTGAGTGGAAGTTTGCTGCTGCGGTGGTTGACAGATTGTGCTTAGTGGCATTTACAGTGTTTTCTATCATTTGTACGTTTGCCATTTTAATGTCAGCCCCTAATTTCATAGAAGCAGTTTCAAAAGATTTTGCATAAGGCTTGATTTGATTCAACAAATGTATTTATTTCTGAACAAGTCTTCAGACGTCAGCAACACAAAAATACAAGAAGTGCTAAGTAACATCTTTGAACAAAAAGATGTTCAGGAAAGCCATTTCTCAGAAAGTCCAATACAGATCTCTTTCATTCCTATCACTGCAACATTTTTTTAAAAAACATAATTGCATTCATTTTATATTTCCATTTAATGGAGACACATTTGATGAGAAAAAGTTGCTTTCCCTTAATGGTGCATTTAAAGTCTTCCAAATTTTTACATGTGCTTGCATCTTGATGACATGGCCTGACAATTAAATTGCTAATTAACTTGCTAATTAAAAGCTGCCAGGCCACGTCTGGTCCCCACAGTAATTGAAATGGCAACAAGAAACTCAGCAATGTAATTTGGAGATGAAATTCCTTCTTTACCAAAACACAAATGGACGCCTGTTTTTCTTTGACATTATTAGAACAAAATCAAATAAATAAGTTTCACTTTTAATGTAATTTGATCAACACATGATGAATCATGGATAAAAACAAACGTGCACCTTTTTCTGTTATATAAGGAACCTTTGAATTGAAATGTTTTTAGAAACATATAAACATAGAAGACAGGAGCAGGTAGAGGCCATTCGGCCTCTTGACCCTGCTTCACCATTCTTCACGATCATGGCGGATCGTCCAACTCAATAGCCTAATCCTGCTTTCTCCCCATAACCTTTCATCCCATTCACCCCAATTGCTGTATCTAGTCACCTCTTGAATACATTCTATGTTTTGGCATCAACTACTTCCTGTGGTAATGAATTCCACAGGCTCACCACTCTTTAGGTGAATAAATATCTCTGCATCTCAGTCCTAAATTGTCAACTCTAAATCCTGACTGTGAACCCTGGTTCTGGACACACCCACCATCGGGAACATCCTCCCTGCAGCCACCCTGTCTAGTCCTGTTAGAATTTTATAAGTCTCTATGAGAACCCCCTCATTCGTTTGAACTCTAGCAAAAACAATCCCAACCTAGTCAACCTCTCCTCATAGGTCAGACCCGCCATCCCCGGAATCAGCCTGGTAAATCTTCGCTGCACTCTCTCGAGAGCAAAAGCATCCTTCCTCAGAAAAGGAGACCAAAACTGCGCACAGTATTTTAGGTTTGGCCTCACCAAGGCCCTGTATATCTGCAACAACACATCCCTGCTCCTGTTCTTGAAACCTCTCACAATGAAGGCCAACATACCATTTGCCTTCCTTACCGCCTGCTGTACCTGCATGCTTACCTTCAGCGACTGGTGCACAAGGACACCCAGGTCCCGCTGCACACTCCCCTCTCCCAATTTACAGCCATGATTTATAAAACAAGGAAACAAATGTTTTGTGACACTGGGATATAACTAAATTCCAAAAGGGAAATACAAAGTTGAATACATATATTTCCAACATGGTCCCTTTCTCCCAAGAGTCTGTCCTTTGTTAATGTTTGGTCATGTGAGCAGGGAAATAGTTAAATATTAATACATTTAAAACAATAAGTACTGAAGAGGTTGTTTCACTGGAGGTTGTGACCAGCAGTGGGTTTTTTCACGAGAAGAACCTGTAATTTGTATGTGATGCTTATGTTGGAGCAACATGGGAGTTTAATGCAGTAGTTAAGACCAACAGGGACTAACCATGACTGGTATGATGTGGTAAGACTTAAATCAATATTCCATGGAGAGAACCTCTTTATTAAAAATGTCGGATGAGCTGCACTGCATGGAATATTATGGGAAGCTTAACAAATTATACACTGAACATGGACTGCAACTTATACATGGATTGAGTACCACTGTATATATATTTAAACAAAACCTCATCTTGTAAATTGGTGTGAATGATCACTTCTCACATTGAACAAAAGGAAGAAAGACTTCTTTTTGGTGACTTGTTCAATATAAATTCCTCAACCAATTTCACTAGAAAGAGTAACAAAAATGTAAGTTGCTAGTACAGCTCAGCAGGTCTGGCAGTATCTGTGAAGAAAATTCAGAGTTAACGTTTCGGGTCCAGTGACCCTTCCTCACCAGACCCAAAACATCAACTTTGATTTTTCTTCACAGATACTGCCAGAGCTGCTGAGCTTTTCCAGCAACTTCATTTTTGTTCTTGATTTACAGCATCCACAGTTCTTTCTTTTACACTAGAAAGTGTTACCTGCTCATTATTTCATCATTATTTGAGGCACTTTACTGCTTGCAGTCTGACTGTTGGATTTCCAACATTACAATAATGATTACACTTTAGGAATACTTTATTGGCTGTGAAGCATGTTAAGACATAGAGAGTTTGTACAAGGCTCCAAATAACTGCAAGTTCTTTCTTCCTCTCCAGTAACTATCATTAGGTAGAATTTATGGTAAAGAATCAAATTATTCAGCCTAACTACTTTGTGCTGGTGTTTTAACATTATGCAAGTTGCCTTGCACTTTACATCTGTAACATTTTTAGCACATCTACCTATTCCAATCTCCTTCATGCATGTGTCTAGCTTTCCCCCCAAGGCCATCTACGCTGCTTACTTCAGCTACTCCATGTGGTAGCATGATACATGTTCTAACTACTTATGTGGCAAAATATTGTATCACACCATTTGAAAAACATGCAACTGCATTCAGCACATTCCTTTTCTCCCCAAAAGCCTGGAAAAGAACTATTACTCAAACCAAAGGGTGCAAGTTAGAAAAAAAATGTATTTTGTAGATGAATGAGCAACAGATGGGATGGAAAAGAGCTGTGTTGGGCTATAAAAGCACATTCGTGATTTGTATCTTCAGCTTTTTTGCAAAGTTTCCTGCACCGAGAAGGTAAAAGACCTTCAGTTACTTATGGAGTTATGGTCCTATTTATTAATAATGACCAATATGTATGTGCTAGTTTGTGCTTCAGCAACAGAAATGAGCTGTGTTTCTGGTACTCAGTGCTTTGCTGAAAATCTGGAATTTGATTTTGATCTGTTATTTAAGGATATAAAAAAAATTGAACTGCATATATTTGCACAAGGTGATGTACAAGGGCAGTTGACTGTTTGCAGGGTCATTAAAACTTCATGCTACTGATCAAATATATTTGTTACCACTCCAATAATTAGTCTGGTCAGCTGTGACATCTGTCAAAAACAATGCTATCATTAGTTCTTGCTATCCCGCCATTACTATTAGAGTGTTTCTCTTGCAATGTGTACTTTATTTGATCAGTTATTTGAATTAAATTATGCTCTGAGGAAAACCCAGATGTCCATTCGTTTAATGGTTGCTGTTGTATTCCAGACTAGATGTCTTTAGCCACTTAGCAGCTCCTTGAATTGTGTTACCTATTAGCCGTTACCTTGATTTGTGTTTTCCCTCTCAACTTCAATCAAGTCTGTGTGCTAACCTGGTTTCATTATGACCGTCTGTGTGATATTTAATGGCATTAAATTCTTTACATACCCAGATGACCTGCTGTACCTTTTGGTGTTTAGATTTCTGGGAAGTATACAGAGAGTTTCATGTATTTGGCAGTCTTTCTATCCATATCCCAACTGATGTGATTGTATCTGGATATAATACAAAAGCTTTACTTAGTTATATAACTTACCATAAATATGTGCTTTGTTAATTTTATTTGGTTCCTCTGTTTCTAACTGATCTGGCTTGAATGATATTTGTTTTTGAGATGTCATGGTGTTATAACAACTTGATTTAAGTAACAGTCTGAGGTAGAGGTTTAAAAAATGGCTGCTTTTCCTAATGACCAGTAAGTCATTTCTGACATGAACTGAAAACACAAATTCTAGAAGAACTCAGCTGGTCTGGCAAACTCTACGAAGAAAGAAACAGACCTATCTGATTGTCATTCAGAACTGATGTGAGAAATCTAACAAATATAAGTAATTTCTTAGATTTGTTGAGTGTTTCTTGTATCTGATAAACAGAAGTTAAATATAGCAGTAAATTTTATTTGTGTTTGGTCCATCATTAGTTCAATGTCCAATTAAAATAATTGCTAGAGCTGCTTAATGTTTTGGGTAAATATAAACAAAAATTTGAATCATTGAGTATTTGTACGTGGTAGTTAGAACAGAACTCAGATCCACCAAATATCTTGTGTGATATGAGTACTCCAGGAATGCTAATGTGTGTGATGTATCGTAATTCATGCCTATTAATAATTATTCGTAATTGTATGTATCACTGTTCATGATTGCATGTAATATTAACTACAGACGTATGTGTACTAGCCTCCCCATTCAGACTGACACAGAGCGCATTACCATATCAGGTTACATTCCATTCAAAGATGCAGTCATGCATAACGTGCTGTGTACACAGCTTCGTTTAACAAGGCCGCATAAATACCACAGGATAAAACATTTTTACACCTCCATACCAAAAGTAGTGCTTTTCATATTAAAACATAGCCTTGAATAGGTGCAATCCCCAAACCCCTTACTCTAAACCCCTTTCCAGCCAGCGTGTCTCCAAGAATCATTCAAAGATAACAATTGGATTAGCTCTCTTCTTTAAAAGCAAAATGTCACTTTTTTGCAGAATTTATTGTATTAGATTAAGCATTTTATAACTTGTAGGTGACAGGATTTATCTTGCCTTAAGTTTTTATTCAATGTCATTTACATAAGCAACTTTTAACCTATTAATAAAACTAACAGCACGATATCCAGAACCACGTGACTTTAAATGAATGAAGGTATGAATGAAACTGACAGCACGACTATAACAGACACGTGACTGTGAACCTGAATGAATAGGGGCGAGTAAACGAAAGTCGTAGACAGCCGCGACTCATAGAAATCCACCTTTTATTTAACACACAGATACATTTTTACCAACATTCTCACTTTAGAAATAACAGGACTAACAACTTTTGAATTATGCAAGGACAAACCAGACAGACACTCTAATCTCATTAGAATAACTGGTAACACTTAGCAATTGTTTAAACCATCTCCGATTTCCTGC